AGCATGAAAGAATGATTCAACTTTCGAGTTTCCTATTTTACTGCATAACAGCCCGTTTCCAAACAATTTCTCGATTCATCTGAGGAAACGGTGAATTGCCCCCAAACGTTTCTTTTTCCAATTTGCATGCGTTAACTTACAACCGGTGGATAATAAGTTAACTGGACTAATAATAGTATTATAATAAAATTAATTTCTAACTAAACTTCAATAACAAGGAACATTCATCAAAATACCTTTTCCTCATTACTGGCCTTCAAGGAACATTCATCAAAATACCTTTTCCTCATTACTAGTGAGGGTTAATGGTATTAATAAAACCGATTTTTTTTCAGAAGATTAGTTGCATATTTACTTTGAGAAAAGTAAACTTTGTCAGCAAACTCAATCCCTAAAAAATATTTTAGTTAAACCAGTAGTTTTCTCAAAAAACATTTTATGGGTAGTGCTTTATTTAACTCAGCTGGGAGCACTTATTGTAACTGAGATGTCATCAACATAGTTAACTAAGATAACAAAACCATAAGAAATACATTGAACAAAGATAGAGATCTACCATACTACCATGAAGGATGTAAAATAAAGATGAAATGATCTACGATACTACTTCAAAGATCAACCACAACAAGAACTTTGCAAAATGTATTAAATCACATTACGGGACTTGGCTTGTAAACCTTATCGGTTGCTCCATGTACAGAATTCACACAATTTCAGTAAGACCAATTCTGAAAAAAAAAAAAATACTTACACCCAACCACAGGAGATGACAATTCTGATTAATAGAGCAAAAAGATGAATTAAGTCTGGGGTGAGATGGTGCCAAGATAGCCAAGCCCAGTGACTTAATCCTTTGACAACTAAACGAGCCTTTGGTGAGAAAGAGGACCTTCAAAATTTATTTTAATAGTACAAACCTAACAACACGGAACACGTTTAATCTTAGAAAAAGTGGTTGCAAGATCGTGTGTGGTTCTCTAGTAATGCGTGTATTTCAGTGCCCATCGCCTTTTTCAGCATTGGTACTATAGGGCTTCATAATAAGTCCTCGATAATAGAAAAAAAGTACATAATAAAAAGCTGTAAAGTAATAGAAAATCAATCAAGATTCAAAAATGTGTCAAGTAATTGACCTTTATCTCTTTATTAAGTAATAGGCATATGAAGATCAAAGAATTCAGACAAAGTTGAAAGAGGATGAAATTGTCAAATATATATTTGTAGGAGTGGAGAATATGTGACCAATGATGTCATATAACTAGAGGAGATAATTCAGAATATACTTGAAAGTTGCAAGCTAGGTGACTCATAACACTTGTGAGAACAATGGCAAGAGAGTTTGTCATCAGCCGTGATGTACCTGGCAAAGTAAAGATTAAAGTCTAAAAAGAAAATTGTCAATAAGAAATAATCATTTTGAATTTTCCAAAAAGGAATAGTTAGTTGTGAAACATCATCTTGCTGTAGAGAAAGTGTCAGATTAAAGATTGGAGACCCTAGATATGTTGCTATCCTAAAAGCAAGTAGGCAGAGTAAGTCCAAATTGCCTTAGATGCCACTTGAAACATTACAGTGGAGGCAATGAAGGTTTGAGATTGTTAAATAACCGGGTGAGAGCAAGGAGGGAAAAGAATTAAACAGAAAAGTAAATTTAAATTAAATTAAATTAAATATTTGCCTAATATGATCACACACACACATATATATAACATTTGAGCCGTATTCCCAGGTCAGTTAATAGACCATCCGCTTCGGCGGTGTAAGTCCCCTCTGGTATGGGGTTCGAATCCCACCTCTGGCGACTGATGCCTTAAAGAAGGGGGTCCTCGAATGGGTTGGCTCATGGGATCCTGGCTCGCGCTACCTAGCGATGCTAGCGAAGCCCAAAGGGATCGGTTGGCGGTTCCGCCCATTAACCAATCTTTATATATATATATATATATAAAAAAAAAAAA